ATTAAAGGCTGAGCATTCCTGAAAAATGTGTTTCGTACTGCAACACCACAGCCTAGAATCATCATTTAAATTACAATTATCTGTTTGTGTTTAATCTTGAAGATATAACCTTTTCCATAAACCCATGCTAAATAGCATCTAGCAATACTTAACAGATTAGAGTTTATATTTTGAATTTTAACACAATTTTAACTTAATTACTGTAAAATTTACCATTTTTTGTTGGTTAAACCTGAAGCCATCTTGATTGGTGTTGACTCCAAAATGTAATCAGCAGCAAATGTATACAGAATATTTTCTACAAGTTTGATTAAAATGTGTCCAGTTACTACTGGACTATTTGCTATTATTAGACAAGGTTGGTAACAAAAGGTAAAAGTTTTAAAATATTGCACAGTGTAAGCTTGAAGTATGTACCTGAAATGAAGGTCAGCCACACCGTTAACACAATACTGTCTGAAGCAAAGCCATGTTAGTGTTTGYAAAGGTCAGTTAGCTGTAKTGGCCATATTGAAATGAGTCGATTCTAAAAGTTATTCACTTGTAGACGTACTGTACGTCCAGTGATTAGTTTCTGACATGACATTAAAATCTGTTCATGGCTTCATTAGATATTTATAACAATCAGTTGACTCCAGGAGTTCGTTGCAGAAAGACGAGGAGGAACAGATTAGGGGTCAGATTTATAAAGCTTGCGTCGCACAAAACAGGCTCAGAAACTTGCGTACAACACTTTCCACACAAAGGTTGTGATTTATAAAACTCAAAGTTGATGTGAAAATGTGCGTTCCCTCAGCCGGCTCTGACTCAGTGTTCATAGTGGAGACGTGAAACTGCCACACAGATGGTGAAGTGATTGTTTGAAGATGTGTGCGCACGATTTTATCAATCTGATTTTTTTTGGTGTTTGCCATTTTTGCCTTTTGGCYGTATATTAACTTTTAGTATGACTTCTACACAATCCTTTCTAAATGAGGCTCCTGATCCAAGCAGTCACACTCAGTGTTTTTGTTGACAATGAATCAGCTAACATTACAAATCTCAACTATTTGTARAATTGACTGTGTTATCTTARTGTTAGCTGTGGTGGCCATTTTACATTAGGTCAACTTCAAAAGTTAGTCACTTCTGAATATACACATTTTTAAAGGCAGTTAATTCAAATAAGCCCAGTAGTTTACAGGAGTTCTGGTTGGGGGAGCCCATTTGCAAACCCAGAAACAATATTATAAAATATGTAAAGAAACATCAGCTTTTAGAATTTCTTTTCTCAGTTTTATTCCATTTATTCTGTTCCATAAATATTACATTTAAACAGTTATATTCCCACTGAAAAACATCAACTTTTCAACAAACT